CTTATTACCGACACTAACATATTTTATACGTTTCAGGTTTCTCTTAAATTCGTAAGCCCAACAGAGGAGAATCCTGTCTTCTCAAACAAGAAAAAAATTGGGAAACGATTGGTAATGCACTCGTATTGTGGATGGTTATGTTTTTTTTTACTTGCTCTTACTCGATACTTCCGTAGAATGATTTAATCCGAGATGAGACGACCCGCTCGTTGCTATTATATGAGTTGAGGGACCTCCTTGAATCCTTCGATGCCAGCAGTATTGAATGGAACGATCCACTTAGCTTTGGTTGTATCGTTGATCTAAATTCAGACATAATTTTTGGAAAGTTGCCGGAAGAGCAAAAGAGGAATTTAAGATAAATCATAAATTTGGCATACGATCAATATGAAACAAGCTCCGTTATTTCTGAATTAGTTGTCCTTTTAGAAAAATCAAAGAGCTTGAATAAAAGGGAAATGATGGTTTCGCTCCCACCCATACCAGCAGATTTCCAAGGAAATAATGAAGAATTTGAAGACATATTCCCGATGCATAGGATCATAGATTCTGTGTAGGTAATTGAGTTTCTCCACCTTAATAATTAACCAATTTATAATACTCTTATTCTTATAGTCGACATATCTGATGCTACTTTAATGATGAAAACAAGGCCGAATACACCGAGGGGACATATATCGTCCGCATAGTGTCCAACTTTCTTGATCCACTGTTTTGCTACGAAAATACCAAACTTAAAATTATCTGGTAAGGTTTTAGATGATATGTTAATATGATTCTTTACCAGGGTGGTTACATAATGGCTATAACAAGTTCTACATACATAACAGGGCCGAAGAAATCTCGGAGGCATCTCAACGTCGGATGGATGATTCTGGAGAAATTAGAATTGGACACAAACCCGATTTTCGTGTGAAATCTCCACTGATTGCCGGTGAAGTGGAAATCTGTCTCATGGAGGCCTCACGTGTTCTTCCGACCGATAAAAAGATTCGTGATGATTGGGATAAGTTGGTCAAGCTTATGAAAGATGCTCATGTGCGATTACTGAGGAAGCTTACTAGAGAGAGGGTTGAGATGTGAAGGAAATAGAATAAGATCTTAACAGAGTGCCAGTTTTTGGTATCCAAGTTGCTGGTATGTAATGTCACAATTATTTTTTTTTTTCACTTAACACTAACCATTTCTACTTTAGGAGCAACCATGGCATGTTAGGTTATGTCTATGCCATTTGGAGCCTTTTACTTTGTTCAACGTCTTGGTTCAGTGCAAATTCCCATGAATCGAGGCCAATCTTCACTTGCCGGATTTATGGATGAATTATGGAATTTAAGGGTAAGGCTATCATCTTTTTACAGAATGCGACAAGTTGGATAAACAAACTCTTGGTTAATTAATAGAATCATTTGTAGGCGTCTCTACGAAACCACATTTGCACCCTTAATGAGATTGTGGAAAAAGTCGATTCGTCTTTATATAACATAGCTTTTTGTTCACCACGAGCTCGGGAAGATGTGCCCCTTTACGATGGAGTGTTAGTAACGCCACGATTGCCATAACAGAGCTTGCTGATGCGGGTATTTAAAAAGGCAGTGTTCTTCTACCATTAAATTTCCATCCAATAATAGGTAAGTATAGAGATATTGTATAAATTATTATGTATTTTTATTGTATCGACCATACTGGCTTTGCTAATAAAGGATTCGAGTTGGTGAGATTATAAATTATGTCATGTGGTGTGTCTTGTATTGGGATAAAAGTTTATACGTCGATTTTTCTATGCCTTGGCATGAGCTCCGCTCTTAATGTGATGAATGGACGCATGATTGAGTATCGAGTTGTACATCCCGAAATAGATTTCACACCTGAAATAGATTATGTAACGATTATCCCAGATATGGTACAATACATTATCAATAAACCAACAAATCTTTCTATCGCTCGGCTATGTATGTTCCGCGAACTTCTATGCTGATCCTGATTGGTTAATAACCTTCCAATCGTTGACGTCTTTCCGAAATTTTATGCAAGAATCTCTTTTATATTAGACGTTTATGTAGTACTGTATTTTTTGCCTAGAAGGACTATAAAAGGCAAAGTAAAAATGTCTAAAAGCAAATTCGCTTGATACTACTTTGAGTATCGTAATATGCCGAATACCCCTCTGTACAATTCATGATCTTCAATTTGTGGGTAGAATGTAACGTGTCTCCTCATTGGTAGCTTTTTGTCAAACAGGCTAACTTTAGTAAGCACACATTAATTCGAACCATTTCCATATAACGTACTACCAAGGTTATTGTAAACACCACTTATCGTATTTTAGTCGGGGATCGGCTAAAGCGGAGTGTCCTTCATTACGTGTGACCAATCTGATCGTAAGATCATGTGTAACAAAGAAAATTTACAAAAAATGACGGATAACTCAAGTTCTTATTATGAAAATCGCCTTTAGACCGCTAAGGAAAATTTCTCAGCACGAAGTTTTAGGTATACCCACTTTCTCAGAGCATTTGATCGCATATGTCAAGAGTAGCACCTTATTAAACGAAGTTTTTTTAATAGCCTATCCTCAAAAAAGGCTATGATCAGCTTACTTTCTTTCCGATGTGCTTATGTATAATGTAACCATATGCATTAAGTCTCCATTGTTAAATTTCTATTTATGTATAATAAACCATATGCATTACAAAAAAAAAAAAATGTATCGTAATAAAGAAGTACAATCCCTTTCTTTATTAATTCAATTTTAAAAGGTTACATCAGAATAAACATTCAAAAAAACAACCATCTAATATAAAATATCATAGCTATATTTAGTTCCGGAGTTTTGATAATATTATATAAATCTTTTGACGGCAACACTAATTTATATAAATAACAAAGATTCTTCTTCTTCAAATGACAAATACCAATTTCCCTTTCTACCAG